CTGTACCTTCTTCTTTAAGAGGCTCCTCTGTCCTGCACTCATTACCTGTATCAATGGCACCTGTTTGAACGTGTTATCAGTATAAAAGACACCTGTCCACAACCTCAAACAGTCACACTCCAAACTCCACTATGGTGAAGACCAAAGAGCTGTTGAAGGACACCAGAAACAAAATTGTAGACCTTCACCAGGCTGGGAAGACTGAATCTGCAATAGGCAAGCAGCTTGGTGTGAACAAATCAAATGTGGGAGCAATAATTAGAAAATGGAAGACATACAAGACCACTGATAATCTCCCTCGATCTGGGGCTCCACGTAAGATCTCACCCCGTGGGGTCAAAATGATCACAAGAACGGTGAACAAAAATCCCAGGACCACACGGGGGGACCTAGTGAATGACCTGCAGAGAGCTGGGACCAACGTAACAAAGACTACCATCAGTAACCCACTACGCCGCCAGGGACTCAGATCCTGCAGTGCCAGACGTGTCCCCCTGCTTAAGCTAGTACATGTCCGGGCCCGTCTGAAGTTTGCTAGAGAGCATTTGGATGATCCAGAAGAGGATTGGGAGAATGTCATATGGTCAAATGAAACCAAAATAGCACTGTTTGGTAGAAACACAACAAACAAAACGTCGTGTTTGGAGGAGAGAGAATGCTGAGTTGCATCCAAAGAACACCATACATACTGTGAAGCATGGGGGTGGCAACATCATGCTTTGGGGCTGTTTCTCCGCAAAAAAAGGGACCAGGATGACTGATCCATGTACAGGACAGAATGAATGGGGCCATGTATTGTGAGATTTTGAGTGCAAACCTCCTTCCATCAGTAAGGGCATTGAAGATGAAACGTGGCTGGGTCTTCCAACATGAAAATGATCCCAAACATACCGCCCAGGTAACGAAGGAGTCGCTTCGTAAATCATTTCAAGGTCCTGGAGTGGCCTAGCCAGTCTCCAGATCTCAACCCCATAGAAAACCTTTGGAGGGAGTTGAAAGTCCGTGTTGCCAAGCGACAGCCCCAAAACATCACTGCTCTAGAGGAGATCTGCATGGAGGAATGGGCCAACATACCAGCAACAGTGTGTGCCAACCTTGTGAAGACTTACAGGAAACGTTTGACCTCTGTCATTGCCAACAAAGGATATATAACAAAGTTTTGAGATGAACTTTTGATATTGACCAAATACTTATTTTCCACCATAATTTGCAAATAAATTCTTTCCAAATTAGCCAATGTGATTGTCTGGATTTTTTTCTCATTTTGTCTCTCATAGTTGAGGTCTACCTATGATGCCAATTACAGGCCTCTCATCTTTTTAAGTGGGAGAACTTGCACAATTGGTGGCTGACTAAATACTTTTTTGCCCCACTGTACCAAAGAACATATATACTCAGGGTATTCCACAAGTTTTTTTTCTAGCATTGAAGAAAGATAGATCAGGGATGTCTGATATGATACTTTAGGAGCTCATAAATATCAGTTTCTTAAGGTTCAACAACTGTCCAGAGAACTATAGAGCCCAGAGTTCAATCTTCCAGGTTGCAATAGCCATCTTAATTTTACTGTCAAGGAGAACCGAAATGTGTTTATTTAGTAGAATATGAAGGCTATTAGGTCAGTTAAGAGAATGAGATCAGTAAGTGAGCTACACAGATCTTGCTGTTACATTGGAAACACCTAGCATTGGAGCAAACCTATAGTAGCTATGAAGCCAGGGGATGTGCTTTATTTAGGACACTACAAAACCAAAGGATAAAGTGCCTGTTGCACAGAAGATTGGAAGAGCACATAAACAAAATAAAAAGTGAGAAAAAGACCATAGTGTAGTGGATTACTTCACAGAGTTCTATAAGTTTTACACAGCAAACTTTGTTTTAAATAAACAAAAGGTAACCTCAAATTGGAGAGGTGGAGACCCCCTGAAACAATAGGTTCAAATGGGGGGGGGGGGGGGGGTTATGGATCTACAGGCTACAAATCATACAATTGAATCAATTAAATATGGATATTAATACTAATTTTTCATAAGTGGAATATTTTGGACATCTACAGAAGTTGACAGTGAAGGCTTCATAAGTTGGGAAAGGGTTAAGAGGTTAAAGTGTTACTAAACCCAAGACCCTACATTCACTATATCTGGTCATTCACAGTACACAGAACATGGAAATGCAATTATTTTAGAAAATATAAACTGATAAACACCTTTTCAGCACTATAGCACTCTTGTGACTTCTGTCAGTGTCTCGCTGAGCACTGGTTGATCTTGTTTGTTGACCATGCAGCATGTACAATAGGTAACATGCAATATTTGTGAAAATCTCCACTTATTTGGATCCCTGTAATCGAGAGTGACAGGAGAAAATAATTTAGTGCAAATGTTTAGAATAGTATTTGTTCTGCCTCCAACAAGGATATTCATTAAATTGTCCTGCCTGTGATATTAAATTTGTCCAGTAGATGGAGCCAGGAATAAATTTACTATTTTACAGAAACTAGAAACTGTTTAGTTAATAAAACTTCCCATCATCCTTCATTCTAAGAAAAGGAAACAGGTGCATTCTGGGAGCTCAGACTCCATTTTAAGAGGAAACCACAATCATCTGTGAAGTACATATTGTGAACTTATTGCCATCTGCAGCCTAGTTATTTAACTTTGTATTTGTATATTTCATACATTGTTTGTATGTATTTCTCATCTGTTTTCCCAATAGTTTCACCCACCCTGTTTTGTTAATAAAGCTTCAAGATTACACACAGTCTGGCTTATTGCTGAATAGGACGACTTAGCTGCATGTCGAGTTACACACAGAGAAACATGTAGGGAGGACAGAACAATATTAAGTATGCAAAATCCATTACTCCGTGTAATGCTTGCTCCTGTATAAATGGTCAGATAGTGTAGCTTTACCCTTAGCAGCTCCCATTCCCTTAAAGCAAGCAGGCCTACCCACATTGGTTGCCCCCAGGAATTACTACACAATGCTATACTTTCTGACTGGGTAGCACAAGAGGCAGAGCAAAGTTCGGACAGAAGTACCTGTGGTTCAGAAATATACAGATGTCCACAGAGAACGGCTGGGACCAGTGCTGCCTCTTCTGGAGTGTGATTAGAGAGATGTGACAAGAGGTTGGTGCAGGCAGCGATGTGGTCAGTAAATGGACAAGGGTTGGTCCAGGCAGCAGACAAGAGTCAAGGTTTGTAAAGAGGAACAGGTTGGTCCTAACATAAGCAAGAAACATGGCCAGTAAGGGTCAGATACAGGCGGGTCAAGATTATTACACTAACAGCAGCTAGTGAGGCATATGGAGAAACCTATCACAAGGTAGTTGCAGGGCCTGTGAGGCTCACATCTTGCGCTGATAGAAACAGAACCAATAGGAGCCAAGCAGGGAGGCTTGATCTATAGATGTGATGCCTGGAGGTTGGGCTGCAGAATTGCCTTTGTGTCATTAGTCTTAAGGCTAGGTTCACACCTATGCAGTATGCGTTTGACCCATTTCTGCATTGCGTTTTGGACACGTTTTTGAAGCATTTTTGATGAGTTTTACGTTTTTTTATTATTTTTTTTCTTGTTGCTAGGCAGATTTGAAACGCATCAAAAACGCAGCAAAAGCGCACAACATGCTTTTCTGTAGCATTTCCATTGACGCCTATAGAACCACAAACGCAACTTTTTGCATTCAAAAACGTTCCTGACCCTTTCCAAAAAAATGCTCCGGGTGAAAACACAGAGATGTGAATGTTTCCCATAGGAAATCATATTAAATGGACTGTACTATGTTTCTGCAAAACACTGTGGAAAATGCTTAGGTGTGAACCTAGGGTTAAGTGGTTCTAAAAGCAGAAGTTTTTTTTACCTTAATGTGCTCAGGAAAAGCCTTTGTCCGTTAATGAATAATTTTTGTAACAAAGATTAAAAACAAAATTTATAAATAAATAATATTATAAATCTAAATGCTCCAAACCCCTAGAAACATATGTTTTACCTTCCTTCCGGTCACATCGGGCGTGATTTGGTATGCGCTTTGCAAATTGTCTGCCAAGTTGCACCCTATTGTCCGCTATTAGAGCGGTTATATCTGTGTGGTTCTGACTTGGTCAGAGCCGAACCAATTTCTCAAGTAGTGAATGCACTACTTTTGTTGCGGTTTGCATAGACATCCATGTCAGATGTCTTGCAAATCGCAACTGAAATCGGCAGGTCACCTGATTTTGTAATCTTGCGACTTCACTGTAATTCGCACAATTTCAAAATCAGCTTTGATGTGACCGGGGGCTTACCCACAGTGAGTCTTCTTTGAATCTCACATTTACTGCTTTATAAATATGTCCTGATAATGTCTATATCAGTATCATATAAGTTAGAAGCATTTGCCTTTTACACAGGACTATGTACCTTGAGCAATCATGAAAAACACATATATATTGGTCTCCTAGGCCACTTTCTCCTCCGTTGCAAAGCTCTCTGTTGTTCGATCCACCTGGCTGTGTGTGAATTGGGATGCTTTTAGCAGGGCAGTTTTTACAGACACATACATGGGCATCCTTCCCAGAATTTAGTCTAGACCAGTGATGGCGAACCTTTTTGAGCCCGAGTGCCCAAACTGCAACCCAAAACCAACTTATTTCTTTCAAAGTGCCAACACTGCAATGAAACCTGAATATCGAGCTTTTGGTTTAGAAAAAACAACTCGTACAGTAGTGCAAACTAATTAACAGTACAGGGATGACCAGAGACTGCGGACAGTACAGGGATGACCAGAGACTGCGGACACAGTACAGGGATGATCAGAGACTGCGGACACAGTACAGGGATGACCAGAGACTGCGGACACAGTACAGGGATGACCAGAGACTGCGGACAGTACAGGGATGACCAGAGACTGCGGACAGTACAGGGATGACCAGAGACTGCGGACACAGTACAGGGATGCCCAGAGACTGCGGACACAGTACAGGGATGCCCAGAGACTGCGGACACAGTACAGGGATGCCCAGAGACTGCGGACACAGTACAGGAGATGACCAGAGACTGCGGACACAGTACAGGGATGACCAGAGACTGCAGACACAGTACAGGGATGACCAGAGACTGCGGACAGTACAGGAGATGACCAGAGACTGCGGACACAGTACAGGAGATGACCAGAGACTGCGGACACAGTACAGGTGATGACCAGAGACTGCGAACAGTACAGAAGATGACCAGAGACTGCGGACAGTACAGGAGATGACCAGAGACTGCGGACAGTACAGGGATGACCAGAGACTGCGGACACAGTACAGGGATGACCAGAGACTGCGGACAGTACAGGGATGACCAGAGACTGCGGACACAGTACAGGAGATGACCAGAGACTGCGGACACAGTACAGGGATGACCAGTGACTGCGGACAGTACAGGGATGACCAGAGACTGCGGAAAGTACAGGAGATGACCAGAGACTGCAGACACAGTACAGGGATGACCAGAGACTGCAGACACAGTACAGGATGACCAGAGACTGCAGACACAGTACAGGGATGACCAGAGACTGCGGACACAGTACAGGAGATGACCAGAGACTGCGGACACAGTACAGGGATGACCAGAGACTGCGGACACAGTACAGGGATTACCAGAGACTGCGGACACAGTACAGGAGATGACCAGAGACTGCGGACACAGTACAGGAGATGACCAGAGACTGCGGACACAGTACAGAAGATGACCAGAGACTGCGGAACAGTACAGAAGATGACAGAGACTGACAGTACAGGAGATGACCAGAGACTGCGGACACAGTACAGTACAGATGACCAGAGACTGCGGACACAGTACAGGATGACCAGTGACTGCGGACACAGTACAGGGATGACCAGAGACTGCGGAAAGTACAGGAGATGACCAGAGACTGCGGACAGTACAGGGATGACCAGAGACTGCGGACACAGTACAGGAGATGACCAGAGACTGCGGACACAGTACAGGGATGACCAGTGACTGCGGACAGTACAGGGATGACCAGAGACTGCGGAAAGTACAGGAGATGACCAGAGACTGCGGACAGTACAGGATGACCAGAGACTGCGGACAGTACAGGAGATGACCAGAGACTGCGGACACAGTACAGGAGATGACCAGAGACTGCGGACACAGTACAGGAGATGACCAGAGACTGCGGACACAGTACAGAAGATGACCAGAGACTGCGAACAGTACAGAAGATGACCAGAGACTGCGGACAGTACAGGAGATGACCAGAGACTGCGGACAGTACAGGGATGACCAGAGACTGCGGACACAGTACAGGGATGACCAGAGACTGCGGACAGTACAGGGATGACCAGAGACTGCGGACACAGTACAGGAGATGACCAGAGACTGCGGACACAGTACAGGGATGACCAGTGACTGCGGACAGTACAGGGATGACCAGAGACTGCGGAAAGTACAGGAGATGACCAGAGACTGCGGACAGTACAGGGATGACCAGAGACTGCGGACACAGTACAGGAGATGACCAGAGACTGCGGACACAGTACAGGGATGACCAGTGACTGCGGACAGTACAGGGATGACCAGAGAGACTGCGGAAAGTACAGGAGATGACCAGAGACTGCGGACAGTACAGGGATGACCAGAGACTGCGGACACAGTACAGGAGATGACCAGAGACTGCGGACACAGTACAGGGATGACCAGTGACTGCGGACAGTACAGGGATGACCAGAGACTGCGGAAAGTACAGGAGATGACCAGAGACTGCGGACAGTACAGGAGATGACCAGAGACTGCGGACAGTACAGGAGATGACCAGAGACTGCGGACACAGTACAGGAGATGACCAGAGACTGCGGACACAGTACAGGAGATGACCAGAGACTGCGAACAGTACAGAAGATGACCAGAGACTGCGGACAGTACAGGAGATGACCAGAGACTGCGGGACAGTACAGGGATGACCAGAGACTGCGGACACAGTACAGGGATGACCAGAGACTGCGGAAAGTACAGGAGATGACCAGAGACTGCGGACAGTACAGGAGATGACCAGAGACTGCGGACACAGTACAGGAGATGACCAGAGACTGCGAACAGTACAGAAGATGACCAGAGACTGCGGACAGTACAGGAGATGACCAGAGACTGCGGGACAGTACAGGGATGACCAGAGACTGCGGACACAGTACAGGGATGACCAAGACTGCGGACACAGTACAGGGATGACCAGAGACTGCGGACACAGTACAGGAGATGACCAGAGACTGCGGACACAGTACAGGGATGACCAGTGACTGCGGACAGTACAGGGATGACCAGAGACTGCGGAAAGTACAGGAGATGACCAGAGACTGCGGAAAGTACAGGAGATGACCAGAGACTGCGGACAGTACAGGAGATGACCAGAGACTGCGGACACAGTACAGGAGATGACCAGAGACTGCGGACACAGTACAGGAGATGACCAGAGACTGCGGAAAGTACAGGAGATGACCAGAGACTGCGGACAGTACAGGAGATGACCAGAGACTGCGGACAGTACAGGAGATGACCAGAGACTGCGGACACAGTACAGGAGATGACCAGAGACTGCGGACACAGTACAGGAGATGACCAGAGACTGCGAACAGTACAGAAGATGACCAGAGACTGCGGACAGTACAGAAGATGACCAGAGACTGCGGACAGTACAGGGATGACCAGAGACTGCGGACAGTACAGGGATGACCAGAGACTGCGGACAGTACAGGGATGACCAGAGACTGCGGACACAGTACAGGGATGACCAGTGACTGCAGACAGTACAGGAGATGACCAGAGACCGCGGACATAGTACAGGGATGACCAGTGACTGCGGACAGTACAGGAGATGACCAGAGATTGCGGACATAGTACAGGAGATGACCAGAGACTGCGGACACAGTACAGGGATGACCAGAGACTGCGGACACAGTACAGGGATGACCAGAGACTGCGGACAGTACAGGGGATGACCAGAGACTGCGGACAGCACAGGGATGACCAGAGACTGCGGACACAGTACAGGGATGACCAGAGACTGCGGACAGTACAGGGATGACCAGAGACTGCGGACAGTACAGGAGATGACCAGAGACTGCGGACAGTACAGGAGATGACCAGAGACTGCGGACAGCACAGGGATGACCAGAGACTGCGGACAGCACAGAGATGACTGCTGACCTTTGGGGAGGGAGGGGGAGCGGGTACCTGAATTTGACAGGTACCCGCTCTTACTTCCGCAGAGTTTTTTTTTTTATCTTACCTGTTCCTTTATCCAGCCGCGCGTTGTCTTCCCAGCTTCTGTAGTGTGGGCGCTCGTCGGACAGCCGGATGCCCAGTGCGCATGCGCGAGAAGCGCTGCGCTTTGTGATTGGTCCGGCGGCTTCTGGGATCTGTCATGTGTCCCAGGTACCGCCTTACCATTCACAAAGAGCACTGCTTCTTGTGCATGCGCACTTGGGACCCGGCTGTCACGCACACTACAGCCGGGAAGACAGCGCGCCGCTGGATTCTCCTGGCGTGCCCACAGATAAGGCTCGGCGTGCCGGCTGTGGCACGCGTGCCACGGGTTCGCCATCACTGGTCTAGACTGTCGTTTGTTTAGAAGGACACGAGATGTTCTGAGCTGGGTACAGCAGAGAATGTGGAGTTTCACTTGGATTCACTTCTAAGGCAAATTTGTGTGACCAGTGTTTTGTCACCAGTTTATCTTTCTACATAATGGCTTTGTACCACTGATAATAGTTATAACACAAAATGTATTATTGCTGCTGAGCCCAAAGTAATAGGTGACCGTTTCATTGTTCGGGTCATCTCTAGCTAGATGTTTTTGTATTTTTTTGACATGTACACTCTTGTTAAGATTTGTTTTTTGGAGGAAAATTTCCAAAAATGTGCCGGTCGATATTGTCCAATCAGCTCATGCATTTCTCCTGGTGGGTTTGACTAGCGTCTGAAAATATTGAATTCTTCTGATTCGTATCTGTTGATAATATATCAAATATATTGCAATCTTCTGGAAAAACTGCACAATTTTGTTAAGCCACCCGTATGAACAGATATACAAAACGTATTTTGAAGGTGTCATTCAATTTGAAATTGCATGTCAAGGTACCCAAAAGGCAGCATGTAGGACATTTTAATAATGCATCACAAAACACCTCATTAACAACCAACAGATTGATTGAACATTACGTTGATTTATTAACTTCTTGCCGACCAGCCACTGTAGAAATACGGTGGCAGGTCGGCACGGCTGGGCAAAACCACGTTTTAAAACGTGCATTTGCAAAACAGGTAGGAGGCGTGCGCGAGGCGTGTGCCCACCCTACCTGTCCCGCCGATCGCGGGTGTCAGTCGCCGGGTCACGGTCGGTTATTACCTACCGTGTCCCGGCGATTAGCAGCAATCACTGACAGAGAGAACGACTGCAGTGTTTACACTGCAGCTGTGCTTTCTGTCAGTCCCCTGTCAGCTCCTGACATGCTGATCCGGAGAGAAGAGTTTATCTCTCCGGATCAGCGTGTTCCCGTGCAGTACACACCCCCGGCCCCTAGTAAAACACTCCCCTCACACAGTTAACCCTTTCAGTGAATAAAAAAGTTAACCCCTTCCTCCCCAGTGCCATTATGTCAGGGAGCGAGGAGCCAGACACGCAAGGAGGTGCAATTAAAGGTAGGTTTATTTACACAGAAACAAGGCAAGAGTCTATGCAAGTCTGACTGCAACAGCGGATGACTTGGTAGGACAGAAGTTCTCCTGCCGAGGTCGTCTTCCAGGATAGTCAAGTCGAGAACCAGCAGGAATCGTAGCCAAAGCCGGGGTCAGAAGCCAGGAAGAATGGTCGCCAGAGCCGGGGTCAGAAGCCAGGAGGAATGGTCGCCAAAGCCGGGGTCAGAAGCCAGGAGGAGTCTTTGCCAAAGCCGAGTCGGTATCCAGGAGAGCAATGAGTGAACTGAACAGGAGCTTGCTGCTGTGCAACAGACAGGACACGAATGCAATGGACAGCTACAAACAGCAGACTTAAATGTGATAAGCCGCCACCTCCTGGGAGGAGCCACAGAGGGCTGAAAGCATAAAGAATCCCACAATGCTTTTCAGACACCTAAGATGGATGCCAGCACATGGAGCAGCACAAGCCCTGAGGAAAGGTAGGACCTTGACACATTAGTACAGTGTCAGTGTCTTTTTTTTTTTTTTTTTTGCACTGATCACTGTATTGGTGTCACTTGGGATGTCAGTGACCCCAAGTCAGTTCCCCCCCAGTGTCAGAATGTCCGCAGTCCTGCCATAAGTCGCTGATCGCCGCCAAAAGTCGCTGATTGCCGCCACTATTAGTATAAAAAAAAATTTAAAATCCCAGTATCTTTCCCGCCATTTGTAAACGCTATAACTTTCACGTAAACCAATTAATTTACACGTATTGGGTTTTTTTTTTTTTAGCAAAGACATGTCGCAGAATATATTTTGGCAGAAATTTATGGCTAAATTTGATTTTTAAATTTTTTTTTACTGGACATGTTTTATAGCAAAAAGTCCAAAATATTGTTTTTTTTTTTTTCCT